CTTCTGCTAGGATGCTAAAATAGAAATTCCAGGGAGGTTTACAAGCAAGCTCACAGCAAACCTCACACTAAGTAAGCTAATTCAATTTATCAGTCCTTGTTGGGTGCTGGGATGAGAGAACATTTAGAACTGAATATAAGTCTCTTTCCAGATTAATCACAAGCTGTTATATTTTTATGATTTAGTGGTGTTGTTTATGACTAACATTTATGGAAGATAGCTAGTAGATTTTCAATAAAAGGTTTTCACCTAAAACTAAGATTATAACAATTTTAGGGGTAATTGGGCAACCGTTGAATTCAAAAGCTGATAAATATAGGGATTTTTTCAGAGCTGTTTATTGCCTACTGACTTAATGGCAGGTTAGACTGCCAGATGCATCGCTCTGTGATGAATGTATAGCTTGCTAAAAATAATGTTGTTGTTCATCAGCTGAAATATATGGCAGCCTATAAGCAAATGAAAGGGGGTCCTCTCCAATTTCAAGTTAAATCAGTTGTGAAAAGCATTCCCTAATTAACAAGGCTTCATTTCAGAGCAAATAACAAAGTCCCTTATAGTATACTTTTCTTTATTTTCTCTTTGTAAATATGCCATCATGTTGCCATTGGTTGCTTTGCATCCCAGGTTGTCTGGGCTTCACAAATTGAAATGGGAGAGGTGTGTAATGAGGAAAATTATAAAAAAATTATGTGTACCACACTATAGGATCCGTGAGATGTCTACAAAGGCAGAAAGGAAAGACATTGCAGTCATCATGTCTAAAGAGTTTTAGAGTAATCTGCATCAGCCTAGAAAAATATTTATAGTAAATAGGTTTAAAAAGGTCAAAAATCTCTATTCTAAAGGAAAATTTTATCCTCCCAAATGGAATTTCATGATTTTGCTCTCAAATTTCCTGTAGAAGTGCTTGAATTTTAGTACAGTTGCTGCTTTCAGTAATTTAACACAAAAGAATCTCTTCAGAATTTTTCTGCATGTTCATGGGTGCATTTTTACTCAGGCAGTTTTGTTGAAGTCTATCCTCCATTTAATTATATTTTAATTAATTGTTTCCTGGTTTTCAGCTTCGCATTGACTGCCACCCATTCAATCTTAGCTCCATATTTTGGACAAACCCTGCTGTAAATAGCATTTCAATTTCTACACAAGGAGTGTAAATGTAGTTCTCATTTCCAGCATCATTCAAATGCCCACATAACTCTTATTCTTGTGCAAGTAAATTGAATCTGTCACGTCATATTCTATGGCAGCCTGATTCCTGGTAACAAAAGATATTGCAGCTGACAGATGGAGCCACACACTACATAATTAAGTCTCCAGTGTGTGTCAGCTGCAGCTTTTCAGACACAATTAGAGTCTGACCAGTTCACCCATTTAGATACTTTAAATAAAAACAAAAAAAATATCCCTTAGGTGGATGTGGAGGTTTCTGTGAAAAAATGAACTCCAAAATGCATTAAGCAGGAAAAAATAGGATTGTGTTCATTGCCAGACCTTCCAGTGATAAAATTTGATACAGGTCTTTAAAACCTCACTTTACCTCCTTTTCTTTTGCATTTATTATGTCCTTAGTGTAGCTAAGCATAAACTCTTCTCAGTAGGGAGACTCATGGAGGCAATGGATAGAAAATACATTTTCTTTAGAAAACTGGCTTCAGGAACCCCCAGCTGTGCAGGAGATAAAATCACATTGGGTTTGTAACAGAAGATTGTAAAACTTAGACAAAACTATGAAACAACAGAAAACTTTAAGAAAAGACAAAAGGCACACACATTTAGTGGTGTGTGATGGATCCAGAATTAAAGATGGGTCTGATGCACAACCTTGTGATCCGGTCTCAGTATCTGCCATGTCTGGGGATCTCCATGTTTTTATGACTTTTCCTCACAAAGACAAGGAAGAAGAGATTTTTTTAGCTAATCTTCTCCACTGCACTCCAGGTAAATGATCAGGTGCCTTATGCCAATCACCTGTACATACCTGAGGTGCTTTGGTTTGTAAGAACACTGAGCAATACCAGATCTCAGTGTTCACCTGTCATCCCTGTGTTTTTAACCTCCAAAGCTGATTCCATTATTTCTGACACACACTCCTTTGTTCATTCTTTCTTCTGTCCCTAAAACACACCCAGCACTTGCCTGATAGTCATTATATTGATGCACCAACAGCAGCAAAAGCAGCTCACAGAGCTACAGCTGCTTCTTCATGTTCCTTTTTTGCTTTTTAGGTATGTTTTGTTTCATTAAAGAGGAGTTTCATGCTGCTTTTATTGCTCTGACTACTAATGAAGGATAAGCTTATTAATTCAGAAGTTTTAATTAAATCACTTGCAGAGGGACCTGCTTGGCATGAAAATATATTCAGTGTCTGACTGTAAGAAGCCCCTGGTGGTGCAACCTTCCTTGCTGACCATCCCATTGGACACTTGCATTCCAAACCAGCTTTGGTGGGGAGGTCAGGAGGCAGGAGACACAGGGATCCACTTCCCAAATGAAGGACTTCAACCACCAGGGCAGATTTTAGCTTTCAGCAGACATCTCAGATGTCTAAATGTAGAAAAACAGGTTGCCAAGAAGCAGGTCAGCCAACTTTTCCTACAAAACTAACATAAAATGGGATTGGATCCCTCATAGCTGACCCTATTGGGTTACTACTCTAGGCTGGGGAGTCTTCTACCAGTTTAAATTAGGACTGGAGTGAAGTTTATCCATTCCTTTCAAGCCTGAAATCTGCAGAAGGCACACGCACCTCTGTCGTACATCTGCACTCAGAAGTCCCAGGACTTGGTTTATCTCTATGGCTTATATCAGATAGACTTGATTTTAAGAAATAAATGTTTCATTGGGAAAAAAATAAAATAAAATAAGCTGCCTAATTCTGGGAACTGTAACTGGTGGTGAGTATGGCCTTTGACTTACCTCTTTCATGCTCCCTGCCCCAGTCTGGCACAGATTTACAAAATTGATTTAAAGACTCATATCTCTTATCCTGTTCCATGGTCCCTTCCTCCCCCAGAGTAACCAAGTTACAAAGCTTTCCTTGGATAAAATGCATTATTGAGAATGCCATTACCCCAGGTGGGCTCAGGCAGGAAATATTTTTCCTTGCAGCCAGCTAAAGAATGGGAAAAGACAGAGAAAGTGTCTTGACTTCATTTATCAGACTTCACTCTGTTGCTGCCCTTTGGCCATGCCTCTCACATCTGCATTGCTGTTTGAGTTTTGAAAGTCCTGGTCCTGACAGGGCTGTGGTGCTGGGAAGGTCTGATTTGGGTCTTGCACACTGGTGTAAGGCAGGAGAAACCCTCCAGGCAGGACCTCATCACTGCAAATCCCACTAAAAGCTGTAATAGCCACAATCCATCAGGTAGAAAACCTGGAGAGAGCAAATGCTCTTATCTCAAACACTGAATTTACAGTAATTAACAATTGTAAATGCAATTGCACTGTTTTATAGGCTGTCCTTTCTATGATTGTGGGGAATGGAAGTTAATGGAAATACACTTGATAATAGTTGTTGGCTGAAGGGCTTCCATTAGCTGTACCTCCAAATGTGCACTTAGGTAATAATGCAGTAGATGAATCTGCAAGGAATGAATTGGGGTTTTTTGGTTGGTTTTGTCATTGAGACAGATAATAAAGGTGTTTCTCAGCAGGCTCAGCTGGGATATTACTGCTGTTCATATAGCCAAGTGTTTTGTTGAAGAGATGAAGCACTGCATAAACTCCTTCACTACCAGAAACCTGACAAATACTGAGCTATTGTGTCAACAACAAACTGGGGATAATGCCTCTCCTCCCCTTCTAATAGATTTTTCCTTACATCTAATCATAAGCAATACTAAAAAATTACAACAGGAAAAGCCACGGCCGCAGGAAGGCATCTGCTCTCTGTGATCCACCATTCGTCTGACTCGAAGTATCAGGTGCAGAGAGGGTGAAAATAATTTGTTTGGGGATTACCTACACCCAGAAAGAAACTTGATAATCACTCGAGTGACTAGCTGCTGCATTTTTCTGCTACCCTCTTGCCTGGTAATCGTTATAGAATGCAATGAAATTATTATTTCCAGGGGTGGGGAGGGAAGGAGAGCTCATTGTTCATTGAGCTGCATCTGCTTCCCTGTTGCAGAAGTGTCAGCAGCCACTTAGCAGGGCTTGGGCTATGGAGAGCTGTTAGCTGGATCTGCACTCACTGACCAATTAATGTTTTTGGGGTTTTTTTATCCTTGGGGAAACATAAACACATAACACAAAATGGGAAGTTTAACACACACATGGGTTTGTCCCCCAGAAAATACTGAGTGCATCTTCAACACAACATGGTATTTAATGGCACACATATAATTATGTTTTATAAAGATTTTATAGGAATGGCAGGAATAATATTAATGATGTGTGAACATAGGTGGCAAGACTGGATTTATGTTTCAGTCAATTACAGTCTACAAGCTGAAGTAGAGAACAGAGGTAATTAACAAGAATAATGAAAGCGCTACCTTCCTATAAATCACTGTTAAAAAAGAGTAAATAATAGAAGACAAAGGGATTGTGAGTCAAGTTGTGTCATTATTCATCAATTTTAGAGCAGAAGGGTGGGTTTAATTAGTGAAATGGCATAGCACTTTCTTGGTGCTTTTCAAGAGTCTTCATGCTCTTCTATCACTGGGAACAAACAGCTGATTGAATGCAAATGACAGTGATTGCCTTCCCACATTCCTGACAGGGAAGGAAATTTCCCTTTGTGCTCTTTTGGATAAAGCAAAGGGAGTGATTTCTGGCCAGGCTGGACCGGGGAGTTTTGCAATCCCGATTGCAGGTGAGGGTCTCCCTAACATGCAAAGGATGAAAGAATCCACTTCTCCTGCAGTTCCAGTTTCCTGTGAGTTGTTTAGTTCCAGTTTTTAATCTGTAGTGCTTTTTGGATAAGAAAGCAAATCAGTCTCCACTGTGAGGGCCCTTATCTCTTAATTAATTTTGCCTTGTCTCATCCTAGGAGAAGACATTTCTCATGCCAAGGCATGGGAAGCTGATGCAGAATTGCAGTACCACGAGCAGCAGGAGCCCCTGAGGATAAACACCATGTGGCTGCTCAGAAAGGAGAGGTAATAAGTCCCAGAGAGGGGTCACCAACTGGCAAAACACCTAACAAAGTCCCTAAACATCTATTTTAGCTGATACAAGGACTGCTGCTTTGGAAGTTGTTTTATATTCTATTCATTCCTCTGAGGGCTGAGCAAATATGGACTGAAAAAATGACTAACTGAAGGGAAGGCTTTTTTCATCCTGATCTGCCTGGGCTCTGGTTTTGACTGGCTTTAGAGACTAAGGGATATGATAGTTGCTACTTGTAGATGCATTTGATCTCTCATTGCCAAGAGGACATGCTGCCATTCCGATAAGGAAAAGTAACGCTGAGTTGTTTCTCCATTGACAGAGCACAAATCTGTTTCTGCAAGCAGTTTGCCAGATTGTGATATCAATCAGTACAGCCTCTCCTAATCCCCAGTCGAGGGCCATTTCAGTGCTCTTGGTGCCTGCTAGTCCAGTCTGGGGTGAGGGGGAGTTCCTGTGCTGAAGATTTGTTACCAGGCATCACGAGATGGCTCTTTCACAGCTGGCTGAAGAAACCTTACCCACCTGCAGGATGTTTTGTAGGGCATTAAGGCATCCTTTGACTGAAAAGTATTGAGGAATGGACTATTAACTATTATTCATTATAGCACATGCAAAGCTTGTGGGCCAAGTTTAATTAAATTCAATAACAGCATATGCAATAAAAATGAGCAGTTAGCAGCAGTGAAGGATTCTGATCTGAGTCTGGGAAGATTCCTTCATCTGTATTGGCATAGTGGGAAATAAAAAGATGGAAACTTCAGCTTTGACAGAGACTGTGAAATTCCAACTCTGACATATATATAGAGGAAACTTCTACATTTTCTGTACTGCAAGTGGGTAAATTCAGTTTACCTGCATTTGTCCTTGATTATACACTGCTTTCTCCTCTGGCTACAGGCCTCAGCATAAATGGCCAGCCTCCTAAGTCACCTCCAGAGTGTGACAAAATGCTCAGTGTCACACAGAGAGCACACCCACTAAATATAAGAGGTTGCAGCACATCTCTAAGGAATACTCACAGGATATTTGCTGATCCAATACTGCAGCTGCTCCACCCTACAGACCACAGGGAGGGTGATAAATGGAACTGAGGGGATGAGGAACTGAGGGAGAAGGTGCTCATTCAGTACTGCAGATCCTGTTGTTTCATTATCTCTGGGGATACCAGGACAAGGGTAAAGGAGGAGATCCATTGTGAAAAGGCTCAATATTTTCTTGTGCACTGAGTCAGGGAAAAATCTCTGTGGTGCAGAACCAGCATTGACTGACCAGAAACGTGTGGCAGCCCTTTGGGTTGAAGGCCTCAAGAAATGGGACTCCCCAAACATTTTTAGGTCTGACTGAAAAAGATATTTAGCCTGAAAAAGATATTTTGTTACAGTTGACATAAAAAACCCCCAACACAACCAAAAAACCCCACACAAGAAGAGAAATTATTCCCATCACTACAGAAAGTTAAACTCTGCACATCCCACAACTCAAGCCCAAAACCCAGGTGCAAGGTTTGATATTAGGCTTCCCCTACATGCTCAGCTGTCAGGCAGTACCATATTCCAAAAGGAAAATACAGCAGGTTGGCTGTGCTGCTCAGAGCCTGGTCCTTGCACAAAGGCTGGTGTGAGCTCAGTGGTTCCTGCAGAGGGGTGAGTGAGGCTCTGCAGCAGCACAGGTGATCCCTGTCCTGCACCTTGCACCAGCTGCCACAAACTCAGTGCAAACCTGAGCTACTCAGACCTGTCTGTGACACAGGGTCAGAGCTCCATAGACCAAAACAGCTTTTTTTGGTGTCCTGCCTCATTGGAAACTGACCAAGAGAAATAGTTCCTCTGGCAAAATCCTGGCTCCTTGAAAGAAAAGCACATTATGAAACTGCCTGCTTTGAAGAAACGAGGTAACTCTCAGTTCTGAGCTTCTTGGAAATTAACACGACCATTTTTTCTTCAGAAAAACAATTTTCTTACGGTTCATACTTGCACTTGGTATGAATGTGTATATAGTACACAATGTACAAAAAGGTCGTCCAATTTCTATGACAGATTTTTTTTTTTCCTTGATTGAAACATCTTTCAGTGATCTGAAAATTAATCTCAAGTATTTTAATTTACAGCAAAAAAAAAAATAATCACAGCACAAAAGATGAATATGTGACAGTTCCGTGGAAAGCAGAAAAACTGATAACAGCTTAGCACTGCTCATGTACCTGTAGGTTCATATGATATCTTCATATGAAAATACTCAAGCAAAACTGATGTTGTTGTGTGCTTATCCCTAAAGACAAATCTGTGGATATGGGTGCATTGGCGACTTTGAATTTCAGACCAACTGGATAAAGGTGTAACAAGAATTTTCCTGGAAATCCTTGGAATTTCAGTCTGTTGGGGGCAAATTCTTGTGCTTCATGTTCACCCCCTTTTTTTTTTGCCTGTGTCTGGGCTTGGGGAGTGAAGCAGAGCTACTTTAAGGATGCCACTGAAAACTGGGGGGGAAGAAGTGCTTCAGGGCTAGTAGTGGGTGTGTGGAAGGAGGGGGGAATTTTAAACAGGATTTAATGGAGCTGGGAGCTGGGTTATTTAAAACTGGTGCAAAGATCCTTTGTATTGACAATTCACTATATGAGCCATAAACTCTTCACTCTGTGCCTATAAAAGATGAAAGGACCAATTACTTATTGAGGCATTAAACACCCAGGGGACAAAGATGCCTGTCTGGCAATAGTAAACATATTGACTGAAACCTATTTGAATTTCAAATTGCCAAATGCCCTGATTTTTTAAAAGCTTCCTATGATAACCAAGGTCTAGAAAGTCAATTGAAACTTAATTCTCCTGGATATCTCATGGGGGGAAAGTACATGAATCTGGACAGATTCAATTATTTAATTTTAATGAAAAAATAGATAGCTGCTTTATCATTTCCTTATAGAGCCATAGATGGGAACTCAGCTCCTTTTTCTAAGATGTTATCCTAGGATAAATGACAACTGTGGTCTGGCAAACACAGCTTGCCAAGAGGTTTATGTCCAAGGGTTTTCTGCTTCCTCTTGTCCTTGTGTCTTTTTTCCCTCCGCCTGGGACCAGGACTCTCTGATACTCCAAAGGAGCATTTCCTTCCTGCCCAGGGACAGTGCAGGTGGAATTTATAAAGCATTGTTGGAGGATGCTGAACATCCCCATGCTGCACAAGGACAGGTTTACTGTCTCACCTGTTGGAAAGACTCCCACAAAGCCAATCAGCCACAGGTCAGTGCTGCTGCTACCAGCATCCTGCTGGTGAGATACCCTGTGGCTGCCACAGGACAGAGTCAGCCCTGACAGAAAATGTGGATAAACAGCCACTGACCATTTTCTGGAATCCCCCTGCCCTCAGATGCCTTTGGGACTGGCCATGATCATCAGCTTGATCGACTTGCCATCAGCTGCTTGCCAGGAGGCAGCTGGGCAGAGCTCATCGAATTAAAAGTTACAACTAACTCTCCCTGCCTTGCACTGCTCTCACCACATTCATTAGTAGAACAGCTCATTGTATTTAATTGCCATTACTCTGAATACCAGTGGAGTTAATTACTTGCTCTGTATGGGCAGCACAGCCTGAAACGTTGACTCCACATAAACCCATTAAAACAATTAGTGCAGTGTAATTGTGGGTATTTACTGTTGGATTCATTTTTCTCTTGTTTTTACTCTAATGTCATATACAGAGCAAAGGTCCACAGCAACAGCAGGGCTGTTATCAAAAACTCAGAGGAGTTTATCCTCTTTACATGCTCTGCACACATGGAGGGAGCATCTGTAATCATAACAGCTGCTGTGTGTGTAGTGCTGGGCAGGAGAGACACCACGGCACCCCTGTCCTTGACCTTGGCATAATCAGGCTTTTATCAGATCCAGCCAACAAGAGCACACTCAGTACTTCTGTCTGAGCAAAACTGGTGTTCCTTGTTGCTTTTGTTCCAGCAGAACCTCGTTACAGGAGGATCAGCAGCCAGTGAAAGAGATTCCATCTCCCCGCCTTTGTTTCGGGTGGTTTCTGTTGGGATTCCCATCATGCAGTCATTTTTATGTATTCCATTTTCTCTCTGTCTTGGTGTACAATCATAAATGAAGGCAAGCATTTATCACCACAGCAGCTTTAAATAACAAATGCTTGATGAATTTACTCTCAGCTGGCCGGAAGCAATACTGTGATTGCAGCATTTTATAATCATCAGGACTTGTTTCTCTAAGCTGAATTAATTTGCATGAGCAATGTGTTATTAGCAAAGTTCCTGGTAACTGGTGTGTACAAGCAGACTGTGGGAGAGGACTCTTTTCTGTCTGTGCTTTCCTTGGGCAAACTTCACCTTGTGAGGTGTTTTAGATGGATGGGTGGAGAGTTCTACCCAAAGGCAAGGGTTTGAAAAGAGTGCAAGGATTCTGACTCCATGTGGGACAGATCCTGCAGAGCCAGGCGCTGTCTCTGGCCATACAGGACATTCCCACATTTCTATCACACTTATCTCCAGCCAGGGTCTTGCAGGACAGTAGATCCAGCACTAGGGTTTGTAAAGCCAAGTTAAAAATACAGAGAGAAACTACTTTCTCCTTGCAAAAACTCAACCCATTGCTAAAGAGTGTTCAAAAATTTAAAAAGTTTCATTTTTGATGAGTGAATTTTGTATCAGACTGGTATCACCTGTCTTTCTTCATGCAGCCAGAATAAACCAGCTGATGCTCGATATTATATCTGGGGATAAACTGGCTGGAGTAAACTCCCTGTTTACACTTCTCTGGACCAAGTATTTACACTCAGGTGGGCTGGTAGTTTATGGATCTGGAAGGATGCTCTAGATATTTGCTTCAGTATCTGATATATGGACAGCATTTGTTCTGACTCCCTCAGATATCTTATTTTTAAGATGGTGGAAGGTTTTGCCATCGTGTCTGGGGGTGGATTTTTGTGCCCTCAGCAGAAGCTTCAGTTGTTCTCTGTGAAGGTTCTTAAATGCTCCTCACAATTATTTTAAGTGGAGGGCACTGTTTACACTTCCCAGCCTCAATGAGGTTTCTGCAGCTCATTGTGGTATTTATTGCTGTATTAATTGCTCATGCACAAAAGCTTGTGGTGGTGTGCAAAATGCTAATGATGGATCCTAATGACTGTGCACCTCCCTCTCCTTCTCTGGTCGCTGCTTTATTGATGTATTCATTAAATTGTCTGAGCAGCAAGGCTGGATGCACATACCAAAATATTTCCTTTTCATCGGAGAAAAACACAGACCCTGAGAGAAATTGGTGGTTGGGAGATGCCAGACAGTTCTCTCTGAAGGATGAATAAAGGCACGCTGAATAATCATGTAAGAACTGACAGTCAGAGTGAGAGGCTGTGCCTCACAGAGAGAGGGAGGTGGTGGTAGGATGTAAAAAAGCAATTTTTGCATTTTTGAGAATCTTGTCTGAAGATGGGTCATGATCTTGTAGGGATGCTGGGAGATAATCAGACAGACATGGAGCGTGCTGTGTTCCAGGGAAGATGCACATGGGAAAATCTGGTGGGTTAAATGTTACTGTGTAATTGTAAAGGACTGTGACACACATGGAATTGAGTTTATGATCTTGGAGTGCATCCCTTAGGAGAGTCCCCTCTTTGCTTCAGGATGGAGATACTGGGCAACAGCAGCTTTTATTAGAATTTCCAAGAAATTCTTCCTTGATTATGTTGAGAGGAAGGTGATGAGGAGAGCCTGTGGGCAGCCTTGGGTGCATCCTTGTCATTTGGTAGATTTTTCCATCAAGAGGCATTTCAGAGCTCCTTACAGCAGAAGTATCATAACCTCCACATGCCAAAGGAGCAATCAAGGCACAAAGGTGTTCAGGAGATGAGAAAAAGGCTAGGTATCCCAAGACTTCAGTGTTTTGACAATTACCTTCAGTATATATTTAAATTGTGTCTTGTAACGATGGAATAATAATTCCATCTTTCCTCCTTCCAGGAAAGAACAGGGGAGAAGGCAGTGATGTCATCTTTGTCAGTGTCATAAACCACACACTTATAGAACAACATTTATAACATTATAAAATAACAGTATTTGTTCAATTCCTAATCTGAGTTTATGCAAGAGCTCTGTAGAAATAATTGATTAGGTTTCAATTTATACTCAGAATGGTTACTGACATGGTAGCAAAATGTATTCATTGATATCTAATTTGGTGTGGCTAATTTCCTCAATGTCAGCTAAATGCCTGGGTGTTTCTTATCACATTAAGGTATTATCTGAATCTTGTTGCACATTTGTTCAGTGCTTCTGTAGCCATGACTTAATTACATGGCAACTGAGTTTATACCCTGGTATGGAAGGATTGCTCCTCAGATGGTTTCCTCAGATAAACAATAGATAATTGCCATGCTCCTACTTCCATTAATGTAAATTATAAGATTATTTTAATGATCTTGGGCCCAGCCTTGGGAAGACACACATCACTCCTCCAGTCATGCTGAGCTCCCACAGTGCCCACTGAAGTGGGCAGGTTTTCACCCAGCTCTACAGAAATTAGGACTTTTGCATAGGAAAATACTGTCCCTCGGTGTGAGGGAATGTCAGAGACAAAACAATATTTAAAATTTTACTCCTTGTGGTGAAAGTTCCCTACCTCCAACCCTCAGAGGCCATGCAGCACAATCCTGCACTGTGTGACCTTCTTGGAGCAAGTGGGAGTCAATATCTATTAACTTCCCCCTGTTCTGTAAGTCAATACCTTGTCTTTAAAGCAGTTGTTTCCCTCTCCCTGCTGCACATCAGAGAAAAAAGGGAATTTTCTCATCTCCATCCCTCGATGGTTTTTCCCATTAATGCAGCCAAGTGAGTGGTGGTTTCCAAAAACCCCCAGAAAAGAGGGAAGAGAAGCAGGAAGGGGATATGGAGGGTCACCTCTGGGTGAACAAATCTGGTTTTCTGGTGGGGTGGGCAGGTGTGCAGAAAGCTTGTGTCAGGATTCAGCTCCAGGTGTGTGGTACAGCCTTGTGAGCAGAGTGAGGGCAATGCTCATGGAGCCAGAAATGCTAGGGAAAAGCCATGAGTGATCCTTCAAGATACCTAAATAACGTTTTGTGACTCAGGTGAAATGCTCTCATTAGGCCCTCTGGAGGAGAATTTGACATTTTCTGTGACACTTGCAATATTAAAAGAAAATGCTGCTGGTTTCTGCATTGTCTCCTGAAAGGCACAGGGGCTGACAGAAATGTAATTAAATTACCTGCAGCATTCATCTGTTGTCACAGCAGCCCTCACAATGAATAGAACAATAATTTCATCTGTAGCTTAGCTTAATGCAGTTTTGCCTACACCAGCCAGAAAACAGTTTCCTATTCCACGTGGGACAGAGTTCAAGGGTTTCCATTTCAGTTCCAATGCCTTAGAGTGGGGTAAAATCACAGATGGAGCCTTTGCTACACTCCTCCAACATCAGAGAGCACCCACAAGCTGTGGGTGATCTCATGTGATTCAGGAGGTCAGATTGGATGATTATATTTTCTTCTAACCTTAAAAATCTCAGAATCACTGCATCAATTTATATGCACGTAACAGAAGCTCAGTGAATGTTCTTCCCATCTTGATTAAGTCCCTCAAGAAGCTCTGGCTGTGCTCTAAACACATGCCCTTAATTTCCCTGGAGGTGTGTTTCACACACAGGTTGGATATGTGGAGCACAGTGAGGACACAGCAGTTTTGGCACTGATGTAGGGCACAGCAGACTGGGTAGAATTAATCTTTTTTCTTTCTTTTTTTATTTTTTTTTTTAAAACTTGCCAAGGAGTGTGCTTTAAACTGAGACATTATTGATGGACCCAGGTGGCTCCAGGCACCTCCTGACTCTCCTTTGCTAAATGTGGGATGAGCTCCCTGGCTCAGATCAGTGCCCTGTGGGGAAGTGATCCCTGTCACTGTGCTGGAGGGTGAGGGGACAGCAAACTGTCACAGTCCAAAGGCTAAAGGATTGAATTATCCTGAACACCTGGATAATGTCTAATACCTAAAGGCAGATCATCCATTAAGTCCAAGAAAAGGTACCAGGCTACTCCTAATTTCCATGACTTACCCTTCTTTGGATATGAAGGAGTTTGTCCTTGATTTATCACTGTAAGAAATTTCAGAAAACTTTGCTTTACTTACTGATATTCAATTTTAATTTTTTTTCCTGCTATTTATCTACTTCTTTCTTCCAGGAATGACTGCCATTTACCACCTTTCTCAATTAAACAGTCCCACAATTCAGGTATGTAGCAATATGTTCAAGATCACAATTAAAAACAAGCCAAGAGTAGAAGAATATGGTAAATAAGACTCACAGCATCTGCAACAAACACGTGGCTCCACCCAATACACCTGGGAAATATCTCCTTCTCTTTGCTTCTATCCATTCCATTCCTGTTTGGGGAGGTTGAAGGAGCCAGGGTTCATCCTGCAATGACTTGTTTTTATCTCACATATTCAGGAATGTACAAGTTGAAGAGTTTTAAATACGGTGTGAGAAAAGGGTAACTTGTGCATGGCCAAGATAAGCTGATGTGTGAGCTGGGGCTTGCCTGAGCCTGGTGTATGGAATATTCCTCCTTCAGGCAAGCTCTGCTCAGAGCAGGGGAGTTTCTCCCTCTCAAGCAATTGTGCATAATGACCCTACCAGGCTGAACAGTGCTAAAAGGGGTTGTTGCAAATTGCTTCTGTGTTGTCATTTTACTTTTCCCTGTATGTGTAGACCTAATAACGCAGCCACATGCACAGCACCCCGCCCCTGATGCTCTCAAATGCTTTACCCAGCTGCATAAATAGCATTTATTCCTGTTTTACAGATGAGGTAAGAGGGATGGCAGTAGCAGGAGAGCTGAGTGCCACTCAGCAAGAGTGAGATGTGCCTTTGCCATGCTGGATCATGCCAAGCAGTACTGCCTGAGGTTTTGGTAAGTATCAAATAAATATCAGAGGCAGGTTTTGCTGAGCAGCCATCATTCAGTGCCTGCAGTGCAGGGCTGTGAAACCCAGCCTCTGGTACTTGGCCACCAAGCCCTGGAGTCAAAGGATTTGTCCTGAGTCGCAACACAGGGTTGGAAATACTGAAAAAGTACCAAGGAGCTCAGCCATCATGGCCCACCTCACCTACAGGCAGCTGATTTTCCTGTGATTCACATCTTCTTCTGGAAAGGCTGCAGTTTATCCTTTGGAGAATATTACAGCTTGAAATCAATTAAATTAGATCCAAGTCACCCACCCTGTGAGGCACCAGCAGCAGGTTTGTCCCACAGCTCTCAGTGGCTTTGGTCCCCCCGGGCTAATGCTCTGCTGCCCCAGGGAATGTGGGGAAAGGATGGGAGCAGATCCCACATCTCCTCCCCAGCCCCAGGAATCCCAGGAATGATTGGTTTATAATCCCTTAGGGAGCACTGGAAATGCTCCATGTTTCAAGGTTCAACAAGGGATGCTGCAGCTGAAAATCAAGAGCTGAGAAAAGATTGAATTCCACCAGTGTTTCTGATCTGACACAAAAACGAGGTCGGTTGTGAAGGAGTAAATTAAAGACACAGTTTTAATGATCCAGCAGTAAATATGCTGAAGGTCATGGGACATCACAAGTTAATAAACTCAACAGGATAATTTAATTCAGCACAAAGAACCCATCTGTGTGCACTGAATAGAAGGTAAGAGTTTGACATGATGAGATGGAAAAGCTTTGTTATCCTCTTGTCTTGCCAGGATTTGCTTCAATTACGCCAAAGAATGTTACTTCATTCTTGCCCTAATAACACTGTAGAGGAAATTAAATTACTCATATATAACAAAAGTGAACTGATTTTGACATCTCTTCTAGGCAAACCTCCTGCTGTATTAGCTCCTAAGCGCATTCTCCCTCACTTAAGGTCTCATGCATATTTATGATTATCACTCATAGTAAATATAAGCACTTTGCGAGAACGCAAATTAACTGCAGGATGTAATGGAGGTTGCCAAGGGTGTTTTTTATTGTTGACTGTGACATGAAGTCTACAATATGGATACAATAATGGATGGATCTTGAGGCATGGAGAAATAATCCCATCACAGAGTGCTCTGACATCAGAAACCACAACAGCAAAACCAGTGCCATTCCAACCTCAATCTGCTTCCACTGTGCTTTTATTTAATTTCATTTTAAAAGGAGCTCTGCTTTAGCTTGAAATTTTTACTTTATATTTTTATAACTCATCGATTAGTGAAAATAATTAAAGGTTGTAGAGCTAAGAAGGAATTAATTTCATTTTTAAGGCTGACAGACCTTAGCCTTTGGTTTCAGCTGGATTAATAATGGTGGGTTGTCTCTGTTGCAATGGCTCTTTCGTAGAGTTTGATTGCTTTTTCATTACATTAGCTAGCTAGCTTTTGGAAAGATTTTATACAGTAAATTTAGCCTCCAGAAATAAACCTCACAACCTTAAAACTAAGGTTGAAGGCTGCAAGGCAGAGACCATTGCATCAATGATTGGCTCTTGCAGGCTTTCATTAGGAGGAAGCCTGTACATCCTGAAAAATACAGCATTTAAAACAATGGAGCCTTATTTTAAAAAAGCATTATTGCTCCCAGCCCATTCCAAATGCAGCTCTCAACCTTTGTTCTCTCAGTAAAGCAGCCTCTTTCAGAGCTTTAACTGGGCTCCATCCCCCAGCCCAGCAGCATCACCCTGTCTGGATCCTGCCCATGCAAGGACTCTGCCAGGAGTGGGCTCATTCTGGAGGTGGACCCAGGTGGATTTCATCTCCCATAATCTGATATCCTGAGAGTGAGAGCCTTTGTTGAGGTGCACATTCCTGCAGTTTTTTCCATAACTTCTATCTCGAGCCTCAGGTTCTTCCCATGAAGTGGGGGTGGAGTTTTAAGGGGCATTACTGGGATTTTTGTTTTAAACTCAGGGAAAGAACAAAGACTTTGTGCAGAGCAGGAAAGAGGCCAGTGGGAGCAATTCTGCCCGCTTTCCCCCAAGGATGGCTGTCTGAGGGAGCCAGAGACAAGCCCTCTTTGGGCCATGATGGATGTCCCCATGCCCAGGAATACACTGCTGCTGTCAGGGTGTCACCCTTGCAGAGGAACAGATCAGAGCAGGCAGCACAAACATTGCTGGCACGGAGGGAGGGCACAAACAGAGCTGAAAATGGCAGCATCTGCTCCATCCATGAGAAAAACAGGGGAAAAATGCTGACAGATGGCCTGGATGAAGAGTAACCCCTCCTTGCTGTGGTTGAGCATCCCAGGCTCCTGTGCTGAGCACATCACCAGGTCAGCGCTCCTGTGCCGAGCAATTCCGCGTGGAGCGAGGCAGAGCCCGCGCTTGGGTCACCCCACTGCACCCAGAGCACTGCTCATTCCAGGGGCAAACCCTCCTGATGCTGCCTCCAAACAAGGATTCCAACTGCCAGGAGTTATATTAGACAGTTACAAAAATAAATGAAATATAGGAACTAATAGAGAGTGGAATTTCTTCTTAATTTGCCCATCATCACTTTTGTTTCTGAAGCAAAATGAGGCTGGCACGGAGATGATGGGAAACACAACGTTGAAATGGCACTTACAGCATCCCAGAGGACCATTCAAAGCAACAAAAAAACCTGGTGATGTCCTTAAAGACTGCAGATGGTTTCTTCAAGGTGAATAATTTTATTGTTTATTGCCTGCTCTGTGTACGGCAAGGAATGACATTTAAGAAAATGCTCAAAGATGCTTTTTTCAAGGCACAAAGCAAACATTTAGGAGCCAAATTATCCATACCAGTGACTGTGTCATCTCCAGAGCTTGGAGCTTGGTTTAGAGGCACATAATAGATGTGGGACAGTGAACTTTTAGAAAGCATGGAATACAGGTCAGATTTGTGTTCCTGCAAAAATATAAAGATCTTGGAACTGCAATGCTTTTACATAGCATGTGAAAATACACCCCATGAGGGGAAAAAAAGTGCTGTTCTGAAAGCAGGTGATATTAGGAAGCTTTTGTTATATGACTTTTTCATTTTTTTTTAGAATTAAATACCATTCACAAGCTCTCTTTTTCCAAGATATTTCAAAGCTTTCAGATCTAACCAAAAAAGAGATTATATAGTTCAGTCATATTTGGAAAGTGTCATTAAACCCCTTGTAAGCTTGTGCTCAAAATTTCATCAGTAGTGAAGATTTTAATACATTTCTATTTGACCAAAAATTCCACTTCATTTTCAGGGTTGGATTGTTTGGGGTTTTTTTTCATTTTTCCTCTTCATATTCATATTCTCCCTTCAATTCCTCTCCCAACAGATATCTGTCACTTCTCTGGGGGATATTAACACCAAATCAAAATTCAAGTGTGACCTTTTCCACAGGTAAAAAATTTATTGTTCATTAGTGCAAACTGGTTTGAGACTACACCTTTCTGGTGCTCAGTCCAAAGCTTTCTGCTGCCATGGCTCTGACCATTTGCTCTGATTCCATCAGATTTCAAGCCTGTAAAGCAAGAACATGTTTTGTGAGGAAAAAAAACCCCACACTCTCTGAAGGCAGAAGAAAGAAAATATCTGTTTATAACCCTTTTGTTTGGCTTTGGGTTTTTTTTTTCTTTCTTTTTATTTTTTTTCTTGTGGAAGGATGGTGAAAAGGTCACAGCAGAATTACAGGAGAAAGGTGTCCATAGATCAGCTGTGCAAGCTGCTTTCAAAGCAACTTTTCGGGACAAAAAGATAAAGCATAATCAAAGCAACAACTTTCCTTTTCTTTTACCTGAAAGGCCATGTAAAATTTCAGCCTTTAGAAGGATTGAGGGAGAGGCAGCCCCTGGACCAGGCAGAGCATCACTCATCAGCCTGTGACTCCTCACCTATGGGGAAGGAGAGATGCACTTGGGAGAGTGAGTATGTTCTTTGTTACATTTGGAGATTGTTTTTTTTTTAAATTTAGACCTGTCTTTTTGTTTTTCCAGCACAAGAACAGAGCTTCTCTGGCAGCTGAAAGCCTGGGGCAAATAAATATCCATGTGCTCAGAGAAATCTGTGAGTTGTTAAATGAAGAGGCAGCAGCAGGAAGGCAGAGAAGAGGTGGGCTTTGGGGTGTTGCTTTCATTTTTATTCTCTGTGCAGGCCTGGAGTCATTGGCAGCTGGGAATGAGTCAAGAAGAAGCCAGCCCTGTACAGCTTGCTGGTGAAAATTAGTTGGAGAAACACTGTTAAATCCAATAAGCAGACACATGAAACCTAAACAAGAAGCATCTCACCACAAGAGTTATGTGCAAATTAAAAGACAGTGAAGAGAGGGAACTTGAGGCTCCAAGTCAAGAGGCACAGTCAGGAATGGCTGGATTTCCTGGAGCAGCCAGAGCCAGGATCACTGGGCTCCTGCTGTGAGGACAGGCTTGGAACTTCCTTCAGACCAATATTGTCCTGCCCTGGCACTCAGCAGAGCACAGCATGTACAACCAAACCTGCCAGGACACATCTGATTATGTGTCTGGCTTTGTTCCTTTAGTGTAAATTTCTTTAGCAGTGAGAAAGAAAGGAGCTGGGAACAGTAGTTAGAAATATTAAAATGTCCAAGAGAAAACTCCTTTCCCATAACAAGAAGCTGTTCCAACTAGGACGTGTGGGATAATTAAGGATAAGATTTTGGGTTGCGAGTCTGCAGTGATTTAACAGGCTGCAGAAAAAGTAGCCATGGAAGACAGTGAAATCCCATTGGATTATTGTGGAACCTTCTCCTGTCTCTCTCCTGGATTTGGGCTCCCACATCACAGGGGAGGGAAGGCAGCAGCTTTTCTTCAAGGATATCTTTCAGATTTAGGTGCTGGAACTCAGCGGAGCTGCTGAGCCAGAGTTCCCTTCACCTGAGCACGGGCAGTGTGGAAAAGCACACATTGCCTTTTACCTTCTTTAAACCATTAAAGCCATTTTTCTAATTGATTACAACTGTTGTAATGTGGTAGTTTTAACACAGTGAATAAAGATTACATATGATTAGATAAGCAGTTTAAAAGCTCAGAGAGCTGAATAGTAGCATTTATTAATTGTGCTCACTCATTTATCTTTGTGCTTTACTTATGATACAGTCCCTGAAACCTTAATAAAACTGAATCACAAAGAAAAGCTCATTATTTGGAAAAAAAATGTACATCCCACTTTTAATGAGTTCAGTTTCTGTGGCCCTGCACAGAGGGCTCTTGCTGTCACCTGGGTGTGGGGCAAAGACCTGAGTGCAAGGCAGCACTGTCCCCTCCAGTGGATCACCTCAGAGAGAATCACAGGCACAAATGGATAGTTTGAACTGGTAATTTCAATCATTAAAACTGATAATTTATTTTTTTTTAAAACAGTTTCTAGTCTCAAAACTAAAAACCACCAGTCTAAGCAGAAGCATGGTGGTCTGCCTTCAAATTCAAGGCTTAATCTTCATGTCCTTCCTCTGTTTGAAGGAAAGGATGAAGGTTTATGCTTTGGTCTGCTCCCCTGGCTGATAAGAGATCACACTGAACAGTAGAGAAGGCTTTAGCCTTGTGTATATATATTTTTAAAGAAGAGGCAAATTAAAAGTAATGACTCAAGCATTTTGTGTTTGTTCTTTCTCCTGACCATAATAAATCTTTACACAAAACTGCTGGAAGTATTAAATCACTCCAGAGCAACTTGTCCTTGTTCCTCACTGCGGAGACAATAGGATTTTAATAAACAATACCTTTGATTAGGTTCAGCAGGAAAGCCAAGGATAACTAGGTATTTGTATCTGTCAAGGATTCAGCAAGAATCCTTGTAATTCACCTTGACTGCAAAAGCTATTGCAGTCACGTGCAAGACTTGATAATAGGTGTTGGGGAGAAGGGGATTCTCAAATACAGGGATGCACCATGTACAGCACTGCCACCCCCTTTGGAAAAAGAAAAAAAAGTCTCTCTTAAATGCAATGATTGTGCCTGGGTAGAGAATATGATGATAATAAATGCTTATTGTGATAAATGCAGTCATGTTCTTCAAAGAAGTAGTAACTCACACAAAAAAAACCGTAAAAAAAAGCCAAGGAAAATGAGGCTGAACTGGCTTGATGAACAGCAATGATATACAGCCACCAATACAGATTTGTAAAATGCACTTTGACTTAAAGTTGCTTAATATTCTTGTGATATCTGTAATGGGTTCCAAGGCAGACTTTACACTGCTTTAAACATGTTGTTATTTATGTTCCAGCCACAGTGAAAAGGGATGGAATATGTGGCCAGTACTAAAAATGAAAGAAATTCCCAAAATGAAAGTGGGCAAAGAAAACTGAGAGCTTTTGTTTCAGAATAATGACTGTCCCAATGGGATAATTAATTTTCCTTAGAGCAGCTTGTTATTTTTCAAAGATATTATACTTATGCAGATTTAACTGTAGAAACATCATACTATTGTAATTTCTCCAGTGTGATGCAGCCCTAATTACTCACTGCTCAGAGCATGAAAAGGAAATGAAAGATGAACAGCAAGTTAATTTTTATTTTAAAAACAAAGAAGATAAGTTTTAAAAGAGGAAAAACAGACCACTGTGTACCAGGCTGGGAGCATGGGTACATTTCATGGATAGAGGAGCTGCAGTAATTCTGGATTTTCCCAGGAGGACATTGCCAGAGGTGAGCCACAGCCTGGAAGGAGCTCGAGGTTATTTACATCAGTGACAGCAGGATGAAAGCAGCACACCCTGAAGAACACCCCACCAAGGGCAGGAGCTGGAGCTCTCTGCTTCTGTCACCTGTTTCTTTGGATTTACCCTTAATCTGGCTGCACACATTAGTTTTGACAAATCTTCCCCAAAACTAAGGATGCCCTGGTGCCTCTGGGGGTGTTTGGCTTAGGGCTGCTGGATCAAACATGCTCCCAGGGCACATCACTCAGACAGCAGCCCCACTGCACAGGCTGCTCTGGCTCTGCTGTGCTTCTGCTTTGTGTCTGGGGCTTATGCTCATACAGTCATTTTTCCCAGGCTAAGAAAGACATTTTCTGCCTCATTTTCCCTTGCCTTTCCAAGGCCTTACGCAGCACAGTGTTGAGCACTGTTGGTCCCCGCAGACATTCAAAGCTCCTGATCCCTCTGAGGGCTGGGCTCAGTGCAAACAAACCCTGCAGAGCTTCACACAGCTGGAGAACAGAAGATCCTGACGTAGCAGCAAGGAGCAGAGATCTGAAGATGTGCCTCCCCCAAGGACCAAACCAACATGAGCTGCAAACACCTCCTGGTTTCTGAATTCTGAGTTTGGGGGGATTGACTTCTTGATTGACAAACTTCTATGTCCACCTTATTTTTTTTCTTTTGTAAACAAACTCCCTTTCTGTAGATGACCCTTTGTTATTGCACAGTGAAGCCCAGAGCTGCCAGGGAGCCGTCTCAGAGCCGTGCAGAGCCCGCAGTGCAGCTGGCACACCAGATGCTCCAGGGGCTGTCCTGGTCACTTGGATGCTTGTGAGCCAAGAATAGCCCCAGCACACGTCAGCAAGCTCACAGGGGAGAAAAGACTGAGCTGCCCTGCCCTGCCAGCTGATCTGAATGAAGCCTCAGATAAATTTAAATAAATAAATAAGCAAACACTTTGAAAAAGGAGACAGAGTACACAGGTTGCCCGTGGGCAAGGATGATGCTACAGAGCGATGACACAGGGGCTTGTTGGCACAAATAAAAGCTGTGTCTTTGCCCTTCCTTCCCACCTCTCAAATCAGTTTGGACATCTCCTGTCCAGCTACAGGGTTACTTAGCACAGGTCCTGTGGTGCTTGGCTGGCCCTGTTAGGTGACAGGCAGTTTCTCCCTGGCTCCTGCACAGACAGCAGGACCTGCTCCTGCAGCATCCACTGCTGCCAGCACCCCCTCACCACAGCCCCTGCCCATCCCACACTGAGCCAAGCTGTGCCAGGACACCTCCATGGGGAGGGGAAAAAACCCAGCAAAAACAAAACAGCAACAAGCAAAGTGATCCTTTCCTCCAAACTGTTTGGGGGAGCCTGCTCAGTCACAGTGCAGTGCCAAGTGCTCACACTGACAGCACCTGCACCAAGTGCAGGGCAGGAAATGGAGCACAGCCACAGCAAGGGCAGAAATTAAACATAAATTGAAAGCCACAATTCGATTCTCACCTAACAACGGCTGTAACAAAGGCAGGAAGAGGAATTCCTTGACTCAGTTGTCATGACAATACTCTTGAAAAATATCTGCCACAGGACCAACCCTCACTGCCTGTGTGTGACTGCTCCTCTCCCCTGTTAATGCAGCACTTTCTTCCAGATCAGCTCCAGGATGGAGCAATTACACTCATCTGCTGCATGTGGAGGCAGCAGATACCAACGGTGCAGTTTATAATGCAGCTGCTATAATTAGTTTGTGAAATGAGCACTGCATGGGGAACTCCTCAAGCCATATCATTATGGAGAGAATGGGATAATTGCAATGTGGCTGCATTGTATTTCTTTTTTATTCACATTTTTCATTGCTAATAATCTTGTTAAATAGTGACAAGTACAAATGTTCACAGCAGAAAAATTAAATGCAGATGCTGCTGCCATGCTAAAAACAAAAAAAAAAAACCCAAATAAACAACAAAACCCCAATGTGCTATATATTCATATTTTTTCTGTTATCTCTGCTTCTATGCTGGTCTTTGGACTTACACTCCTAGAATAAAACTACATTTTTATCACTAAATAGCATTTCCTTGGAAAATAATCTTTGATTAGAATAAGATGATAATTTTGATCTTACTCTTAATACATGTAATATTATTCTATATTCTACATTATACATTATATTTATATTTTACATTATATTTATTATATTTTATTATATTTTAGTATATTATTATATACATCATATCTCTATATAAATATAACCTAAGTATTGTTATATATAAATACTACACAATTTTATTTCTACTTTATATATATATATGTATATAAATTTTATATATATAACCAAGGGAAAGAGGAAAAAAATAATAAAGAAACTGGGTGTCTCTGCTATTCTGTGTAAACTTAATTTTAAGAGAAATTTAAGAGCTAGCTAGGCAGCAAAGGGAAAAAACCACACACTTTCATCCATGAGCTAATATACTTCCCCTCACCGACTTTTTAGCAAATATGTTACTAATATCTCTTCCAAACTACTGATAAAATTCACTGGTGGGTGATTTATTACTGGAATACTCCTTTCTGAGAAATAATAGAAGGAGGGAAAGAGAGGGAAAAAGTGAAAGGGTCCTGTGGGGTGATAGAGAGCTTGTCCCAGAAAGAACAGGAATGAGGAGCCTCCAAGAGCAGAGCATGGCCCAAAGTGTGTAGAAGGCACATTTTCTCCCTGGATCAGAGTTTCAAGGCAAAATGCAGCAGAAAACCTCGCTCAGTTCAGTTCTGCAAGCAAAAGTGAAGTTAATCAGAGCAAAGTAGCAGCTTTATCATACAGAACCCCCATGATGCTCCAAACAGTCCATTATCCTTCCCAAGAGATGGATAATTTTCCCCTTCCGCTGCTCCTGTGAGCTGCTTTGCACCCACCCAGGGTCCCCTTCCCCTCTGTCACCTACCCCAGCAAACCAACAAATGGCTTTGGATCAGAGGGAATTCCACTGGAACCCCACAGCCCTTCTTCCCTCAGCTCCTCTGTGCAAGCAGGGACTCACTGCTCTGATCCTCAGCACTGGGGCACACAGGGCTTCTGCCCCCCTTTCCTCCTCTTCCTCCTCCTCTGCTCACACAACCACCTCAGCCACAACATAGCAAGAGAGGAGAAATATCAACCACTCCAGATTCCCACCAAAGTGTGGGAAGAAGTGAAGGTTCTGGACCTGGGCAAACCAGTGTCTGCATTTCCCCTGCTTACCCTCCCTTCCTCTGTAAAGGATGGAACAACCACTATTATTATTGTTATTATAGTTATTATAGTTATTTTTGTTATCATTATTATTATTATCATCATCATTATCATCATCATCATCATCATCATTATCATTAACTATAATAACTGCTGGGCAAGGCATTTGTGAATAGATGCAAACATATGGGCTACATGGAAAACTTCTGAATGAAGCAGATGAATTTCTGTCTGCTCTGGACTAGACTGAAGTAACCTTTGGACAAAGCAAATTATATATGCAAGCAACAGGACTCCACAGTTTTTCTATCTCAAAATCCACAGAGCCACTTAATTCCTGCTTAAGCCAGACCCATTTCCTGATGGTTTTCAGCAGTGT